GTCTCTTTCAGCAGTGCCCAATGACCAGCAACAAGCAGCAGCTTCCCACAGCAGCTTCCCCCAGTACACTGCTTCTTGGATGGCTTTATGCTGCTGGCACAGCACCTTTCTGTAAGTTTGCAAGGAATTCTGAGATAAGGCACCTCCCTGTAGATAGCTTCTCCCAGCACTCTCAAGAGAGAATTTCTAATGAGTCCCACTGAGGCCACTCCTCAGTGAACTTCTGTGACAACCAGTGAGCCACAGTCATGCCCTCTTCAGCAACGAGGTGCCTGTGGGTGGGTGGGGGTGGGGGTGAGTGCAGCGGGGCTGTACCTTGGCCACTCTATTTCAATCCTAGGAGTGGTGGCTGCTCCCTATATCTACTATTCCTATATTGCAGGAGTTATCTTTGCCACTTACCAGTTAACTCCCCTTTACTCCAATTCCATTAATTCTTTATAGTAAATGTTCTCTGTTCAAATTACTGCGTGATTTTAGCCCTGTCCGGGTAGCTCAGTTGGTGAGAGTGTCACCCTGACATGCCAAGTTTGTGGTTTCAATCTCCCTGACCAAAACAAACCTTCACTTAGTCTTAGATCTACATGTAATTAAATATTTAATGTTCACCAATTGTCCTCCTGTCATTGTCAGTCATTTGGGTGGCATCATTCATTCCCCAGTAGATTCCTCAGGAAGAATTCAAGTGAATAATGTTCTCTGAGTTCTTTCATTTTGATAACAAATTATATCTATGCTTTTATACTTGAAAGTCAGTTTTGCTGGGTACAAAGACCTTGGTTCTCTTTTTCTTCCTTTGAATATTTTAAATGTTTCACCGATTTCTTCTCACATGAAGTGTTAAGGTTGCAGTCTTATGATAATTTAATTTTCTTTCACTCATAAGTTACTTTTTTGGCCTAATGACCACTTTTCAAAATGTGAAATCTAGTAATTTTACTAGAATACAGCTTGTTGTTCTTCATTCTCAATGATTTCAGATACACAGTATGCTCTTTCTAAAAATGGTTTCAAATGTATACACATATTTATATAAAAACATATGTGAATATATGTAAATTGAATATATATTTCAGGAAAAATTCTCTTGAATTATAATGTATTGTATTTGTTCTGTTAGCAAGATTGGTGTTCTTTATCAAAGACTCTTTATCCATATGTTGGATCTTCTTTGCCTATTTTCAATATTTATCATTTCTCTCAAATAATTTCTATGTCTTTCTGTATTTCTTTTTGACTTAAGAAAACCTTATTTTCAAATTCTAGCTTTCTTTAGGCACTATCATTGTGTTTGTTTACTCCAGTGTTCCTTCTAGTTTAGTATTTTTTCTTTTATTTCTAATTCTTTCCCAAGTTGTTACTTCATTTCTGGATTTTTCTTATTGTTTTTTTCTGTCATATCCTATATAATTTTCTTAAAATTTTAACAGTTTTAATAGGACTTTTTCAGTATTGATACTGTGCAAGTTTTGCATTTGTAGTTTGACTCCACCTTCTTGTATTTTGTGTTTGTGGAGTTATCTGTGATCTAGTATTGTTGCAAATATTGTCCCATGCATTTTTGGTTTCACTGTATACTCTGTGTTTATGTGGGGATTCGTGGAGATTCAAAACTCATGTACAGCCATATTTACAGAATCCATTTACATTTTGACTCATGAATACTCTCTTTCTACATCCCTGAGCCTTTAAGCCTTAGCTGAGTATGATGGGAAGGAGCTAGGGTTAACCAGGATGTTGTTTGAATCTGCAGTGGTGCATTATATTGCAACCTCATTCTTAAGTGATAATTCAATTGGTTATAACATTCTAGGTTTTCAATAATTTCCCCTCAGTAATATATATTTTGCACACATATTTTTACTTTTGAAAATTTGGCTTCCAATCTAAATGTCGCTTCTTTGTAGGTAGGTTATATTTTAACTGCTGCTCTTAAGGTTGTCAATTTTTTTTCTTTGCTTACATTCATCACATTGTATGTTATGTTCTCAAAATTTGTGTTTCTTCCATCTAACGAGTCATCTTTCTTCAATTCTAGAAAATTATTGGCCAACATTTCTTTGAACTTCGCCTCTCTCTTTTGAAATGCCTTTTAAATGTAGAACCTCTTCATTTGTTCGTTACATAAGCAAGTTAAAATTAGTTTTTTTAGCACTAAAACAGAAACACTCTTACTTTTCTCAAAGGCAAAGTCAGAGAAAGAAAAAAAGAAGTGACCCCTGAAGTTATCATTTGATTATCTGTAACTAGATATCCTTTAAACCTATTCCTCTACTTTTTAGTTATGCAAGTCAATAAATTCATTTGGACTTCTGACAATTGTAACCAATAGTCCTGATTAAATGTCTACTATGTGAGTGGCACTGTGCCAGCTACTATATAATCAGTGGAGTTCCAAACAAAGTCCATGTGTCCAATAAGCACAATATTTCACTCTTGTTTATGTCATCTTCATTTCTTTGTTCCTGCTTCTCCTGCCTCCACCACCCAAACTTGGAATGCTTGTTTAAACATTACACTTCGTTTATTTTAAAACCAAATTTGTAAGGGTAACCTTTCTAGCTATATGCTACCATGACCTTTCCCTTATTTTGGATTCACAGTATACTAATATTGTCTTAAATAGGTCTTCAAATGTGAGGATTAACCAAAAAAAAAAAAAAAAAAAAAAAAGAAGAAGAAGAAAAGAAAAGAAAAAGAAAAAGCCCTTAGGACAGGAGGAACCAGCTGCGCTCTCCTTCCGGAAGCATCCCCACACTTTTCCCCTCTCCCTCTTTGTACCCCTCGGTTCATTGCCTTTACCTTTCTCTCTCCTAAGCTCCCAGGGTTCTTCTCTTGGCCCTGTAAATTGTTTCCTGCGCCCATTTCTTCTACAGCTCGTTTCTACTTCTGTGACTTTCTAAATAAACTTTCTCTCATAGTTTAAGTCTTGGCTATAAATTAGCCAGAACTCAAGTACGAGGTTGCTAAACCAAGGTCTGGTCTGACTCCACCAGTCTAACACCTGGTGCTGCTCTCACCACCAACACATACACATATTGCTATCACTTAATCAACTTGAGGACATAGGAAAGCCTATTAAAATACAAATATACTCAGAGAAGGCTCCAAAGCCCTGCGATATGAAAGGTCTTGCCTTAACAGAAAATAAAGGAAAAGGCACCCAAGGTGGGGGACACTGGATTTGAGGAAAGGCGCAGTTCTGCTGGAGCAGTAGGCTTCTGTCTACAGCAGTGCAAAGTAAGATTTTAAACGGTTAGCTCCAGAATAAGGACAGTCTAGCTCTTAAATCAGCGCGATCCCTCTTCTCTCACAATGCAACTCTCCGCAGCGGAGCCAAACGAACTGGACAAATGTCCGTTTAATTTGGTTATTCATTCCTTCTGACGGGATACGTCTCGTACCATCTGGCAAGCAAATGGCCGGGGGCTATTTGGAATGAATTCGAGCGGAAATAAGCAATGAGCCCTGCGCCCGGGGAGTCAGACGGGCGGGGCTGGGTGACCGAACAGTCGGCGCTGGCCCCGGGAGCTCTCTAGGAACCCTCTTCCTGCGTCAGCATCCCTCCCCGCCCGCCGAGCCCCCGCCCCCGGGACCAGCTGCAGAGGCCTCGGCCTTGGGCGTCATTAATGCCTCAGAGGTGGGGATTGCTGGGCCCCAAATCTACACCCTGAGGACTCCCAGCAGCGGAG